TTTGTTCAAACCTTCGAACACAACCTATTTATTTCATGCTAAGGCATCTCGACCTTTGAAAATAGATAATAAAGCAAGGAAGAAATTGGAAGCTATGAAAGAGACCTTATATATATATATCAAAGTTTTTACAAAGGCTGAATAGCCCCGTTACATGTCATATACAAATGCCAAATTGCCTCAACAAAAGAAACAGTACAAAAATTTGAACGACCTAATCTTCACCGGGGGCTGCATCATCGCCTTCGGAGTCTCCTTCGCCACCGGATTCGCCCGATTCTTCAGATGCATCGGAATCCTCCTCGGGAAAGGCTAGCCTCCGAGCATTTGCTTCGTATGTCTTGGCTTTCTCAATTTCGTTCAATATGTCGAAATTCTGGGCATGGACTCCCCCGAGGGTCTTCCTTCGGGATTCCCACCACGCATGCTTCACCATACTTTTTGCTTGCTCCTGTATAGCCTCGGCATCAACTTTGAGCTGGGCCACCCTTTTATCAGCTTCGTTTCGGGCTGCAATGACTTCTAACTTGGCAGCCTCGAACTCCTTGGCCAGATTCTCTTGGCCAGAAACAGCGAAACTGAGCTGAGGTTGGAGTTCCTCGATCGTTGTGGCCTGTGCTGAATTCTTCTCCTTTGCAGCCCGAAGCTGGACGTTAACAGAAGCCAATTGTGCCCGGGCAGTTTCTTTTTCCGAGGCCAGACGGTTCATATTTTTCTTCCATTTTTCGGCCTCGGCCTTCACCACGTCCACCTATGCCTGAAGCTGCCCGACCTGGTCAAGTCTCTTTTGAGCCTGTAGTTTCAGGTTGTTAGCCAAAGTATCTGAATCATCATCAGCCTGAAGCTTCTCACTAAGAATCTTATAAGTATCCTTCTTCTCGGCAAGCTCCCGAGTCTCGGCCTCGTGACGCTTGAACACCTCCCGGTATCGGAGAAAGGCCTCATGATGAAGCACCGAGGCCTGCAAACACAAAGGAAGATATTAAGATTATTCACTATTGAATCTAAGTATATAACAAAGGGATATGCAAAATTACCCGATTCAGCGCCTGTTGAGCTTCGTTGAAAAGGCAGGGCGCCTCTACCTCGTTCATTTTGATTTGATCCTCTTCGGTCACCAAGCACCGAAGGTAACTAGCAATTCCACCGGAGCGGAAAGAACCCGGGCATCCTCCGGGATGGATATATAAATTGCTCGCCTCCGAGTAGGATCAACACTCGGGGTAGGGAACTGATGCACTAAATTCGAGCTCGATGAGGACCCGCCAGCTCCCCGGGACGGTATCTTCCTTGATACTGATAGGTCGCCCAAACCGGTAACATCCTTCGAAGCAGTGGAATCTAGGCCGTCGAAAAAATTATGAAAAGAATCGGCTACTCCTTGGGCCTCTTCGCCGAGGTTACCTTTCAACGCCTAGGCCTCGTTTATCATAGAAGTTGTAAACGAAGGCGACCCAGAAAGGTCAATCACCCCAAGCGCCTCTTTGGGTGCGTTATCTTTTGACCGGGATGTATCGGTCACATTTTCTTTCTCGACCGCACCAGCTCGGTCCAAATCGGTCTCAACCCTCTCAGAAACTTCGGTCGTTGTTTCTTCTACGGCCTCCATGGCTCGAGGCATTTCGAAGCCGCTTCTCACGCGGGCCACTAACTCAGAATTCTCTTCTTCCTTGAATTCATCCCTCAAACGATTGAGTGAGTCCGATGAAAGTTTGGCTAGAATCATCATCAGCCTGAAGCTTCTCGCTTCCTCGATCTTTTCCTTTCAGGGGCAAAGGGACTCGGAGCTTTTCTTTTCTTCTTCTCTTTACCCTGTTTCGGAACGGGGGGTCGGCATGTATATCATCGTTAGCTGAGTGAGGCCTCATCTCGACGTCCTTTCCTAAACCTACAAAATGAAAATATAACGGATCAGAGACTGATGATGAAAAAATTAGATCAGATGCATTATTAGGGAAAAACCCTTACCATGATTACGGGCCTCCCATCGGCCCTTCGAGAGCTCACGCCATAAACGCTCGGAGTAAGGTTTTTGTGTCGCGATGCCCTCGACCCACTCTTTAAGTTCAGGAACGGGGTTCATCATTTGGGCGACAGTTGCATTACATAACATCAATAAGAAATCAACTGAATGAAAAGTAATAAAAAGAATACCGAAGGCAGAGCTAAACTTACGTTTCATGTTCCATTTCTCGGGAAATGGCATATCCGCAGCCGGGATTAAGTCCGACGTCCTCACTCGAACAAATCGACCTAGCCAACCCCGGTCTCGATCCTGGTCGATACTCAAGAATAAGGTCTTGGTGGCTCGGCGTGCGAGCTTAATTAACCCTCCTCGGTAAAGTCGCATGAGATGGTCGATGGTGAATGGGCATCCCTCGACCTTGCTCACAAAGAATCGAAGCAGAATAACGATCCCCCAAAATAAAGGATGTATGTGCCCGAGCGTCACATCATACCTTTTACAAAAAGCTATGATAACCGGGTCTAGAGGACCAAACGTGAAAGGGTAAGTGTAAACGCTTAAGAAACCCTCTACGTGGGTGGTGATTGATTCTTCAGAGGTAGGAACCACTACGAGTTTGTCTACCCAGTTGCAGTCCTCTTTGACTTTTTCGAGGATGCTCTCCGTGATCGTACATATGTACCTCGAGACCGGTTCGCATCGACCCGGTACCATGCGCGTATTCTCAACTTTGAAATCGAGCACAGTAGGGCACCTAGTAGGGATGTATGATCTCAGAGGGGGTTCCTCAGTAGCAGCGTGAGGAGCGTTTTCGGAAGGTTTTGAAGAAGAAGGTGCTTCTTTTTGAGGAAAAGACTTTGAAGTTTTTGCCATTTTTATAAAAAATGAAAGAAAACAGAAGTCGAGTAGTTGCTTTAAGGAGAGAGTCTGACCAAAGTGGGAGAGTGGCCGGGTAGCATATGGGTTCTGTGGTAGGATAGCTACACACGTTGAAGTTCTAACTGTTCTATACATCATTGTTTATAGAAATAAGAGAATAATGAACATAAAGGGATAGAGGGGGACTCCGAGGATCTGCGGGCGCGGGCAGTTGATCAGGTGGTGCTGCGTATATAACGCCGTAACCTTTTTCCATATCCCATATACATATAATATACATATATACGCGTATATAACGCCATCTGATTCTGGTGTGTCGCACCTGCGACATTTTGTACGCAGGTGCGTGGTCGCTCCTGCGTAATTCCAGTCGCTTGCGACATTGGACAACCCTGCCGAGCTCCGCTTCTGTGGAGAAATGAGCGCAGGTGCGCAACCGCATCCGCGATGGACGAGTCGCTTCTGTGGTCACTAGGGCCCGCAAAAGCGAGCAATGGGACGCAGATGCGGGACTAGGGGAATTGGCCAGAGGTCGCAGGTGCAGTGTGAAGGCCGCAGAAACGGAGTCGCTTCTGCAGAAGAATGATCGCAGAAGCGGACAAAAGAGACTGTTGATAAGGGGAAGCTTTGAGGTTGGCAATGAGAAAACCAGAAGATGAAGAAGATGTGAAGTTCTTAGAACGAAAGAAGGATATGAGCGTAAAAGTTCTAACAAACGGGTTAAAGGATATTTATAGGTTCCTCAAGCGGCGGCTCATCTCCTGAGTTAGCCGACCGTCAACTGACATACATTTAATGCCTCGAAAGCCGGACTAACGGGACGTTTCACTATTCTTATCACCTACGTCATGTACCCGACGTCATGATTTATCGAAGTAAGGACGGAGGGTTCATATCGTTTTTAATCACTTACTCTCCGCAAAACGAGGGGACTATCTGTATACGGGTAGAACCGAGCTCTATGCTTGATCGAGGCATCTGGAACAATAGGTCGAGGCTCGGCACCTGCGTAAGAAATCGAAGTTACAAATATGACTAAGCTCGATATCAAGGATCGAAGTTCGAACAAGATCATCTGATTTGCCCTCGAATTTATCGGGGTACGGCTGACCCCGCTTCTAACGACCTCAAAGAAAAGCTTTGCCAACTCACACGACAAGTATCCGTGATTCTCGCCGCTGACCAATCATTATGGCGGAAATTACGGGATTAAGTCAAAAGGGAGCCAACGGTCTACATAATTTCCTATAAAATAATGTCTTAAAGGTTTATCTCCCTGCATATATAAAAAGGGAATGGAGTGAGTCTTGGGACACATTGTAACATACTTAAAGAGTACAAGATACCAGTTTTTCCAGCTTTGTTCATATTATTCTGACTTCAATAATATCACATTTAAATTCGAATGAAATTAACCTTGGGAGGCTTAAGTTGTTCAATCGGCATGGTTTGTATTTATTTTTCTACTTATTCTTCCATATTAAATCTGATTTCTCGCTTTGTATCAAATTAGATCACGTATCCTTAAAATCACGTATAAATTCAATTGTTATCCGATTTTTTGGGTAAACAATATCAATCACCGATACTCAAATTACATGAATTTGGGTGTGCAAACTATACTGGCTGCTGCTTCTGGCTGTAGTGTGATTATGTAGCAATCTGGTAGATGTAGAAATGGAATGAGGAAGCTTTTTTCTTCTTTTTTATTCGTTTGGTGGTTCTGGAGTGGGCACGATTCAAATTTAGATTTTGGTGTATTTTGTTAAGCATACTAGACTTTCCCTGTTTTATATAATCTTAAGCAAAGGCATCTTATTGTCGTTTGAAAAATTGAAGGTCTTTAGGACTTCTGGATATATAAAGCTCTGATAAAAATTGAGTCTGTTATGCAAAGCGTTAAGATATCTGTGCATTTCTCTTGATCCTTGCATCTGAAAGCAAGACGAAAGTATTCGGGCAGCATGGCACCATGTTAAAACTGAAATAGGATGAACTTATTGATTATATCATGATTTTGTCATTGTCAACAACCTAAATTTCCTCTTATAAGCTGTCGTTTTGCATTGAGTTATCTATTTCGTATGCTATTTTACAACTGACAGAAAGTTTAGGTGTTGCATTTTGTCTGATTGGTGTTTTAGTTTGTCTGCAGCTGATGATACTCCAGCAAGCATTGGATTTCTAGGTCTTGGAATTATGGGCTCCCCTATGGCGCAAAATCTCATAAAAGCAGGGTATGTTCCAATTATTCCTTGATAGACTAATTTAATGGATTTCAATGTGCTTTCACTTTGTGAACTTCATGAATCACTGGAAAGCGTTTATTTTTTTCTGCATACTCATCATCGTTGTTCTTCCTTAACCAGCAGAATTATGATTATCCTAAAATGGTGATCTTTCAGAAGCATATGTTGATAATACAAAAGATGTTCAGAGCAGACACACGTTTTTGTCTGGAGTAGTGAAACATGATTGTTATACTTAAACACCTTTTTTTTTCCGAATAAATAAAATATCAAACTCTTATCAATTTAATGTATTTGTGGTTCTCATGCTGCAGACGTGACGTGACAGTTTGGAATAGGACCAAGAGCAAATGTGAACCCCTTATCTCCATGGGTGCAAAGTAAGTATATGCCAATTTTGCTTTAAACTGGAGACTTGTGTTCGGTTGAGATGGCATCCTGGAAATGTGGGTTTAAACTTATAAAATAAACCAGCAATGATGCACCGTGTGAACTCTATGCTAATGCTTGTCTGGCCATGTATCAGATCTCGTAAAGTTTGTCAACTACTGTTACTTCTTGCGCTTATTGATAATTTGCATTTTAAAGTAACTTGAGGTTTTTTTGCTGCAGATACAAGTCCTCCCCTGAGGAAGTTGCAGCATCTTGTGGCGTCACATTTGCCATGCTTGCAGACCCTGAGAGTGCAGTGAGTTTTGAGTTTATTGTGTGAATGTGTGCATCTTTCTATATACTTGACAAGTCTAGTCAGCATCTTGATAGTAGTGCGTTGTTTTTCCAGATGGATGTTGCTTGTGGAAAATATGGAGCTGCAAAAGGAATGGGTCCCGGAAAAGGGTACGATTTGCTTTGTCTCTGCTCTGGAAACTGTAAAGTTTGGACATTACTGTTGCATCTTTAGCACTGAATGACACGTATAGAATTCTGATAAGTGGTTGGAGGAAATTTTTTGTAAGCATAACAGGGTTTGGAAGTGATTCTGTTTTTCCTGGTGTTAGATGTCTGGCTTAGTTATATCTAGAAGCGTGAGGTTATGATAGTTAATGATGCAAGAAATTGGAACGAGAAGAAATGCAAAGTTGCCTGTACTTTAGAGGAACTAATTACAAGTTACACCATCGTGACATGCTCTAAGTCAATCTTTTATTCATATGCAAAGTTGGTAATAAAATTATCCTAGTGATTTTATATATTTGTTAAAATAGATATTGCATTTGCTGGACGCAAGTTTCTTTGGTTGCTTTTCTATGGCTTTCATACTGCCATCTGAATTTCATTTATGGCTTTGCACCCTGGTATATGTAAATGCAGTTATGTAGATGTTTCTACAGTTGATGGTGAAACTTCTAAACTGATCTGTGAGCATATCAGAGCTACTGGAGCTCATTTTTTGGAGGTGAAATTTTCCTTATCCTGTTAAGCATTGTGCATATGAAAGCTATTACTTCCAGTATATGACCCCACCGCTCTCCGGGGCCAAAAGAAAATGAAATAACAACAGAATATTGTCTTGTGTTACATTAAGTTGAATAATATCCCATATTTCTTCCAATTTGTCGAAAAGGCTCCAGTATCAGGGTCCAAGAAGCCAGCAGAAGATGGACAGCTAATATTTCTCACTGCAGGTGAAGCTTTTCCCTTCACTATATTTGAGTTATTGGCAATGAAATATGCATGGCATAAATATTGTTACATGTTCATAATAATGAAATTAGCTTGCCTTTATTCACTCCTATCTTCTTCGTTATATCATGATTAATGATCCTAATATAGATGCAACATCTACCCATCCCCCTCCCCCTAATCCTCACCCACACGACTGTATTTCTGAAGTTTGACTATAATCTTGTTAGGCTACTCTTAGTTCACATTTTATGAAAATGAATACTAGTTTTAGAAAACAAAGATGTGGTTGATACTGTAAACTTAGAAGCATGACACAGATTTAGGAAATTAGGAGGGAGCCTCTGAAGTTCACCCTTTAATTTGTTCTTCCTCCGTTTCATTTTATTTGGCAGTATTACCTTGTTGGTCCATTCCAAAAAGAATAACACCTTACGAAAATGTTATTGACATGCTTTTAACTTGTACAATTTAACTTGTACATCTCATTTTAGCTTTAATGACATGCTTTTAGCCACAAAAATGTTATTGCACGTTTAAGACACAAGTTTCAAAAATCTTATACCGCACAAATGTTTTGACATGTTTAACACCACACGTTCCAAAAATCTTTATTTCTTTCTTAAATTTTGTGCCAGTTAAACTACGCACGAAGGCGTAACTAATTTGGATTACTTGAACTTTATTCATAAATAGGACAACCTATTATTTGACAAACTACTGATTTTTAAATTTTTCACATAATACCTTATCTATATAGCATACAATGAATTATAGCCACAAGCAATGCATGTACCTCTCTAATTTTGACAAAAATTGTTTAGTCCGGTTCTTGAGACTATCAAAGAACAAGAATTAAGTCCAAACCATGGCTGCAAACCTTTCAGGTGACAACGTGCTGTATGAAACAGTTGCTCCACTGTTGGATATCATGGGGAAGGTCTCATTCTGCCCTTCACTGAGTGATGCAACTCTTTCCACCACCTAATATTTTCTTTCTTTATCTCAGTCAAGATTTTACCTTGGTGAAGTTGGTAATGGAGCTGCAATGAAACTTGTCGTCAATATGGTTATGGGAAGGTTCAATTTTTGATTTCTTTCTCATCTCTTTGTAGTTTTGTTCTGTCTAACTAAAGCAAATGTCAACCTTTCTTTCACAAAAAAATTTGCAGTATGATGGCCTCCTTTTCTGAAGGATTAGTACTTAGCGAGAAAGTTGGACTTGATCCAAGTGTATTAGTGGAGGTACTTCCTGATAAAACAAATAGCTTACTTTTGAGACTGGCCCCTTGTGAATATGTTTCTTGCATCACTTTATCTTCTTGATGGTTTATAAATTATCTTGCACAATTTTCTGTTCTTTGCCTAGTCACAAATAACTCGTCTAATGAAGAGAACAATATAACTAGAAACATGTTTTGTGCTCTTTAAGGTTTCTGAACTGGATTTTGGTAGGATTGACAATGTTGATAATTTCCCAAAGACTTATCTTTTTAGATTTCCGAGGAAGATCGGAATTCCATGTCGATTGAAGTTGCTGAGACTTTACCTTTATTAGGATACGATTAGGCCAACAATAAATATAAAAGTGAAAAAAAAGAAAAAAGAAAAAGAGAGAGGTTATGTCCATGACCATGCTATTTGCTGAAAACGGATACTTAAAGGATGTTGAGCAGCATCTGTGAGGCTGTTGAGTGTGGAAAAGTTAAAGAGATGATTACTTAGTGAAATGACTGAACTGGCTTAAAAATAGCTCCACGAGTTTCCGGACAATGCATGGTGTGAAAAAGATTTAAAATCGATAATTGTGCCCAAGTAAAAGTAAATGAAAACATATACGTGAATCCTTAATTGACTTGCTGATATGAAATCAACTCTTGTTCATTTTAATTTCGAGTACGTACAGAATTCACACAGGGTAAAGACTTTACAACTTTATTTTTGCCTCTTATATGCAAGGAGAACTTCATCCTCTCAACAATGACATCTTCAAAGGATTTCCTAGTATAAGATGCTCACAAGGTGCATTGAACTTAGAAATACGTCTAATATCTGTTACTAATTTTTTTCACCACGGTTATGCACAGGTGATCTCGCAGGGTGCTATTAGTGCTCCAATGTATGCCATGAAAGGTCCTTCAATGGTTAAATCTTTGTATCCGACAGCGTTTCCTCTGAAGCATCAGCAAAAGGTTTTCTAACATTCAGAGACTGCCTAGTGCTACTGTCTGCAAACCAAATGTTGTTTTCTGAGTTCTGACCAGAAAATATGTTTGTCTCAGGACCTTCGTCTAGCTCTGGGTTTAGCTGAATCTGTTTCACAACCCACTCCAATTGCTGCTGCAACCAATGAACTTTACAAGGTTGCAAAATCTCATGGTCTCAGTGACCAGGACTTTTCTGCAGTAATTGAAGCATTAAAAGTGAAATTACAACACCAAACTTAAAGCAGTCTTTCCTGGATAACATATGCTATTTCCTTCACAAAGCTTGGGTGTAATATATCCACCATGATACGGTAAATTTTTTGGTTCACAACTAATGTTTTCATTGTTACCCATCTTTAAGGGTTTTACATGCATGTATACCTCCTCCTTTCACTTCTTTATTATATATTTCTGGGTATGTTTTTTCAAACAATGTGATAATTTGTAGTCGGATGAAGGCATTTGTGAGCTAGTTTCCCTTTAATATTTGGATGTATTATAGTCTTAACTCGCTCACATGTAATTGTTCCATGATACTATATAACAACAGTCAAGATTTTACTTAAAAATATTCAATAGAAAACATTTTTCTTCTGAGAAAACAGTTGTGCACTATAGAATCCTCATTTCTATCATAACAAAACCCATCTCAGTAGACCATTCATTTGATATTGATGTCTTACTTTTTTTAATTTGTAATTAAGTACTTTGTATTCATGTTATGAAATGCCTCAACTAACCCATAGAGTTTCAATTATCAATTTCAACACCATTTAAGATTTAACACGATTTGTGATTAAGTACTTTGTAAAAGAACGCATATTATTGAATATCACAATGAAGTTGAAATATAGCAAAGATAGTAGAATGAGTTGATATACCAACTGCGACTGACTTGGGATATGAATAGTTATTGTTATTATTATTATAATAATTGTCATCTTCAGAATACCTGTCGGTCCTACTAAAAGTGGGGCAAGTTTATTCTTGCTTTGATCTAGCGGCAAGAACGTAACACATGATGTGTGGGTTCTAATTCTGCTTCATATAGAATTATGGTATTAAAATGGAGAAGGGTAAATGGACGAGTAAATTCTTCACCGAATTTTAATTTCCCACTTGCCAATAAATTAAAAAAAAAAAGTGGGGCTAGCTATAAAAGATGGTTGAGAACCTGGTGGAACAGTAGGAGCTTTAAAGTACTTGTACGATATCATAACTGATATGGTCTCCAATGCCTTTTCCCATACCCACCCTCACTCCCTCAAAATGGTAAGTAGAATAAAAAAAAAGGAAGAATAAGAAAACAAATCCCTTTGGACTTTGTGGCAGGTTTAACGTGGTTGAAACAGTAGGAATCTATTTGGTTTTAATTAGTTGATGGTTTCAATGGATCAGTCAAACTAATCGATTACTCCTCATATTCTATATTTTTCTCTCCGAATATTCTATTTCCGACATTTGTCCACGTTAAGCACTTTAGGCTTTTCGAGTTTTGGGTCCTTTGTCACCCCTCCCAGCTAATTGTGATTTTGTGCGAGCTGTTTTTGTAGTTTTACGGTCGGTATCTGTTATTTGCTTTGGGCTTAGATTAATCCGGATTTGAGTCTTCCTAATATGATTTTTTTTATTTTAGGACTTGAATTGGAGATATCCGATTGAAGGTGAAGGGATCCTACTCATTCGATCATAATTCTTATTGTTATTTTATGTTAGGGGTGTACAAATCGAATTGGAAATTCGCATCAAACTGAAAGTCAAACCAAATCGATTAAAAAATTCGATGAAATTTGGTTTGATTTGGTTTGGTATTAAGTAAAAAAATATAATATTTAATAGAATATGAAGTGCTCCATTTTTTATTAACTTTGGATAATGTGTTGTATGATCATTTTCTTATCAAGTGTTATTGCAATGTAACAATCTCTTTGTTATTCCTTATTCATATGTCAAGATCTATTAAATTCTTATATCTTTTTCGATTTTGAAGTGGTATTTCGATAATTGAAAATTAAATAGAACATATCATTATTTAGGTATCACATTGATTTTTATATTTAATTATTAAATTCGGTTAACCTTGAAGTGTACATCAACGAAAAATTATTGTCAGATAACTAAAAAAATAACTGTCATGTGTTACTAAAATAATTCTCCCCTAAGAATATTTTAATAGATCATATGTTTGTCAATCTTTTTAATTTTTAGTAAACATATATTTCCTGGTAAAAAATTTAACAAAGTAAGATTGATATAATATTTATGTAACCAAAAAAAACTCGAAAAATTCGACAAAGTCGAACCAATCCAAACCGATATAGTTAGTTTGGTTTGGTTTTAATAAAAATCGAATCAACTCGGTCTATGTACACTCCTATTTTATGTGAAGGGATTTTATCCATCCGACCACAATCTTGAATGATATTTTGTGTGAGTTTGTTACTGAAGCAATTTGTACATTTCTTTCATTTGAAATCTATGATTGAAAATGAACGGATATCCATTCGACCACAATCTTATTGATAATTTTGTTTACCCGAAAAACGGATAGAGTTGAATTTATACGTAGTTATAAGGATATGTGATATAACTTAATATAAATTGTAAGGATAAAAGAAAATATCAAATATGGACTGCAAAGAGTGCAAAATAAATAAAGTTGTAAAGAAGACGATTTTTAGGACTAAGCAAGATGAATCAGTTTATGAGGCTTAAAAGTGTAACTCTTGAATATAAGAGGATATGGTGCTTGAATTACATTGTGAGCTCCAAAAACTGCCCTTCTAGAAATGATAACCCTCCAATTTATAGTAGAGAGATCTTACTTTAAATATAATTGAAAATACTTAGTGAGAGATCCATGATAAATTAACTTTTTCACAATTCCTGCCAAGATTCTCCTCTAGTGGGATTGCAACGGCTTTTGTCTGTGAGCTTGATCTGACTCGACCTCTCGATCTTGGCTTGAGCTTGATTCTAACTCGAGCTCTCGATCTTGGCTTGAGCTCGATTCTGACTCGAGCTCTCGATCTTTGGGTTAAGCTCGATTCTGACTCGGACCCTCGAATTGATTCGGGGTCAATGTTGGTCGGTCTCTGGATCATAAGCTTGATAGCTTTACGTTGCATTATAGTTCGATTTGGATTCGAGCTTGATAATGATATCGAACTCGACATTGATCGGCCCCTCGGGTTTGAAGCTTGTTTGTACCATCTTCGGAGCTCATCTCGAAGTCTCACTTCGATCGATTATCTTTCGAACTCGATCAGACGTACGAAGGCCGAAATCTATTTCGACCGTATACAAATAGTCCCCTCGTTTCTCAGGAAGAATGTGGTGAGAAACGATATGATTTTTCAACGTCTCGATCGGATTATAAGCTAACGTTTCCATCGGGCTCGATCATGACGCACATGATAACTGTTCCGTCGATTTAGTCTTTCCAGGAATTTAATGCATGTCAGATGGTGGTCGACCACCGCTGATACTGAACCGCCATCGCTTAAACCTATAAATAACCCTTCCTTTTATCATTTACCACTTTTGCATCTTCAATCTTCCAAATTTCCCAAGTCCCTTTTCGTATTCTCTGACTTACCCGCAAATCTGTGATTTTTCTTTGCAAAAAGCCCTTCTTTAATTTTACCAAATCTTTGTCACTTTCTTCTATTCCTCACCTTTGAATTCGAAAGTGGCGAAAACATCACAAACCATTCCTCAGAAAAAGAAGGCTTCATCTTCACAGTGTGCCGCCGATGAGACACCGACAGAACCACGGCCTGAGGAGTGCATTCCCGAGGCGTGTGTTCTTACTTCTGATTTTAAGATCGATAAAGGCTCATTGGTCCCTGGCCGATGTGAGCCGGTATCGAGGTACATGTGTTCGATAACCGAGAAGCACCTCAAACAGCTAAAGAAAAATTGCAATTGGGATAAAAAATAAATAATAATTCCTACTTCTGACGAAAATATCACCACTTACGTGAAAGGATTTATGAATGTGTATACTTACCCTTTCACGTTAGGTCCCCTCGATTCCGTTATTATTGACTTCTGTCGTCAATACCAAATAACCCTAGGCCAGGTCCATCCTTCCTTTTGGTGAATCATTATCTTGATCCGATACTTTGTGAACAAAATCGAGGGGATGTCGTTCACCCTCGACCATCTTATCTGATTGTACCGTCCTCGGATTTTTCGAGGAGGGTTAATAAAACTTCAGCATCGGGCTACCAAGGCTCTATTCTCGAGAATTGATGAGGACAAGGATCGGGGCTGGATGGGCATGTTCGTTCGAGTGAGGACTTCGGACCTGATTCCGACCGAAAAGATGCCCTTTCCCTAGGAGTGGAATATGAAACGTAAGTGTGATCGTGCTGTTACTTCCTTCTATTTTGTTTTTTCATTTCTTTTCTCATCGATACTCTTTCTTTTGTGATGCAGCGGTTCCCTGGATGCCCGGAGTAGTTCCCGATCTCAAGAACTGGGTACGAGCTTTTATTTCGATCTCCACATACGCCGAGCACTCATGGCGTGATTTGTCAAAGGGTCGGTGGGAGGCCAAAAATCATGGTAAGCCCCTTTCTCGTACTCTTTAATAATTCGAACGAGATGGTTTCCAAATATTTTAATAAAATTTTTCATATGTAGGTTTGGGCAAAGATGCGATTTTGAGGCCTTTGTCCAACGAGGAGGAAACTTTGGCCTCTGTCCCAAAGCCGGTGAAGGAAAATAAAAGGAAAAGAGCCTTCGTTCCCGAAGATCCAAAACCGAAGAAGAGGACGGCTCGTAAGCCGAACAAGAATGTCATTCCTTTGACCGTGGAATCAGTTCTGCATCTAAGGGATGAAGATGAAGAAGAAGAAGAAGAAGAAGAAGAAGAAGAAGATGATGATGATGATGGGTCCGCGCTGGCGGCCTGAACGAAGAGAACCACCGATGCCCCATCGGCAGCTGGATCGATGATGCTTCATGAGGCTCCGCCTCGAATTGAGGATATACCGGAGAAAGATTCGGGCGGAATCCCTGAGTTAGCGGAGATCGAAGACGCATCCCATCGGAGCCAACAGATGGGGGATATGTGTGAAAGGCCCCCTCTTGAATCCCTTCGAACCGAAGAGAATGCTCAAAGTGATTCATTTGGGACAGCAACAATCGAAGATTCGCCCACATTCCCCGCTTTTTCCACAGGGGTGATTCGGGAAACCCAAGCTTTGGGGGACCTCGATCTAGACAGTCCTCATAATAGAGAGGATCCCTTTTGGGACCTGTGTACCGGTATCGAGGACGTTGCCGGTACTAGTGATGAATCGGATCTTTTTCACGGGGTGCAATAGGCTTTGAATCAGGCGAGCCTTAAAATTATTTTGTCGGTACTACCTTTATATTTACTTTTCGTTTCTAACTTCGTTTCTTGTTTCTTTGCAGGCAGTGGCAGTTCATCGAGAAGCATGTTCTCGGTCCCAAAACGAGCTACGTCGATACGAGGCCGACCTTCAACGGGTTACTGAGGAGAGGAACTCCTTAAAACTTCTCTTAGGGCAAAGAGAAGAGGAAATAAAAGACCTCCAAGCTTAGTTGGCCAAGGCTTACCGAGATCAGACCGATCTGTCTGAGCAGGTAACGATACTTTTAAAAGCCTATGGGCTTGATACCGGAACGATGGCTAATTGTTCGGTCTCACAGTTGCAGCAAAAAATTGAGATGATCGGGAAGCTTCGTGAGGAGGTCGACGTGATAAAAGCGGAGTCTTTGCACTAGAAAGAAGGTATGGTCCGTTTTGCTACAGAGAAAGAAACTGCTCGAGCCCAGTTATCATCGGCCGAAACCCAACTTTAGAGAATGAAGGAAAAAGGCTTGGTTCAAGCAAGAAGAATAGAGGAGCTCGAGGCTCGGTTGGCCTCTGTACTTGCCAAGGCCGAATCTCATGCCGAAAAGGCAAAGGCCGATGCGGATGCACTCGTGGCCGTCTATCGGGCCGATGCTGAAGCTACCCAGGTCCAAGCAAGAGAGGCAGCCGAGACTGCCGATACTCGAACATATTGGGTCGCTGAACTTGCTAAGTGTCGATCTTGGAGGGAAACCCTCGAGGAGATCCATGCTTGTGGTTTCGACCTCGCTGAAGAGATAAAAAGGGCCAAAGAACTCGAAGCCGATGCTGAAGCCTTGGTTTCCGATGATGATGATGATGATAATGATGATGACGATGGGAGTAACAGCATATCTGAGAACGGGGTGGATCTCGATAGAGAAGAGACCGCTCCTGGGGATGACCATGAAGCTTAGTCCTTAATTTTTACGTTGTAATCAATCATGTAAACAATTTTGTATATAAAAATATCCCCTTTTTTGCCGACTTGCTTTTGTTTTGTTTCCTATCGTGTAAAGACTTTATTCAAGCCTTATGAATGTTTTCACAAGGATTTAAACAACTTAATCAAATTTGGACTTCGTAGCCTCTATAACCGAGCGAGCGTTTACTCAAACTTGAAGTGATGTAGCCCTTAGGCTTATTAGTTGAGTCAATAGTTCGAGCTCAAAGAAATATAGCCCGTAGGTGTAATGGTCGAGTGAGTGTTTGCTCGAACTCGAAATAAAAGCAGCCTGTAGGCTTAGTAGTCGAGTGAATGATTCGAACTCGAAGTAATGTAGCCCGTAAGCGTAATGGTCGAGTGAGTGCTTGCTCGAACTCGAAATAAAAGTAGCCCGTAGGCTTAGTCGAGTGAATGTTCGAACTCGAAGTAATATAGCCCGTATGAGTAATGGTCGAGTGAGTGCTTGCTCGAACTCGAAATAAAAGTAGTCCATAGGCTTAGTAGTCGAGTGAATGATT